TTGAGAGGAGTTACGAGTGCTTTGCTGGTCTTTTGGGGATTAAGGGATTAGGAAGTGACAAGTGGTGGTGGGACGAGGATTGGGCGTTTGGTAACCCCACCCACATGGCGAAAAACAACTGGATTGACATCGGTTTCCTATGAGGCTATAGTATAATCTCCGGTTGAGCCGACCCATTCCTGCAGAAGCATGACTCTTCCACACTTTTCTTTAAGCAGTTTTGCCTAAATCCATCTATAATTCACACGTAAACTTTAGACAAATCCAAGAACAATGCGTAAAATAAGTTTATTAGAGATGATATTACCAACAGAATGCTTGTAATATACCTACACAGTATTGATTATTATGTTATCAATACCGGTAAAGGGCTTTGATAAGCGACACCTACATATGTATACACATCTGTACTTATATTTATTATAATAATATATTTGTGAACGAAATGTGCTTTTTTGTACCTTGTTTTTGCGGGGGGAAATTATCAAATGAATTCTCTTGCACTGGCTGCTGTTAGAGGAGGTATCAGACTTCTACTGACTAAATAGCACCCCGTTCCTTCTTCTGATCCAGGTCAGGGCAAAAGGTATATTAATGCGCTCGGCTGAAAATCCCGGCTAAACTTATACCTTGTGCAGAATCAATGCTCTTTCAATGCAAGAGAAAGAAAAAATGAGTAACTATAGTGTTTCTAGCTCGTTCTTCTCCATTGGAATCTGCACTTTCGAACGCAGAAATAGCTTCACTAGAAAATTGACCGACTGATTGATACTTTTACCTTTAAATAACAGTCGAATGTCTTTGTTTAGGTCTTTTATGGTATAAGTCGGCAAACGAGCAAACGGATTACCTGATGGCAAGCAATTAGCGCCACCCATAAACACCCGCAACACAAAAGGAATTACAAGTGCGTTGCCGGCCTTTTTAGGAGTTGAAGGAGGGAGGGAGAGATTAAGCCTCAGATAACCTCACTCACACGGTGAGTTACTTTACGGTCAAAATTTATAATTTACATTCAGAACCGTACAGTACAAGCTATTTGAATAACTCTTTCAGCCCTGAAGTAGTCAGACTGGAAATAACGTCTGTCGTAACCCACGGCTAGATTCGCTATTAGCAGCGGTAAGAGACCCATCTTTGAGGAGTGACTAGAGAGACGCCACGACATCTTCACCTTCCACCTAACGCAAGTGTTTAGTATTGGTAGCTCGCCGCCCGACCAGAACCAGACCCGAGCGTACGCGCGTAGCGTTCTGCGCGCGCCTCAAAGAGCCAATAGACCACCTCAGACAGGACCCTACAGGGCCTTTCTTCAGCCAGGGTTACGGGGCAAGCGCAAAAAGGTACCGCGGTCTCAGCCTAGAGCAGGAGAAAGACCGGGAGGGTTTTTAGCCAGTAAAAGTCTGACACCTGGCCCTAGGCAACAGCAGTCATTTGATGATTTTTCGCTCATAAAAAAGCCCTGAGGTTAGTCGAGAGGAAGAGTACTGGCTAACATTCCGCCTTAACTACTGTTCAGAGCTGGCTGGTAGAATCACTTATATTCGAATTTCGAATTATTATATTATGGGATTTAAACAGAAAAATAAAATTCTACGACGAGTATTTATGTATATTGCATATAATCAAAATAAAAATAAAAAAAAATGTAAGTAAAAAGATACAAAAAAAAACAAAAAACAAGCGGTGAAAAGATACATTATTATTTATTTTGAAATAATGAAAATAAATTTGAATAAATACTAAGGAATTTATACGTGAAGGAATGTATGTTTTTATAAAGATTTAAAATAATAATATTTTTGTACTATGGAATGTAAACAGTTTTCTGGGCGAAATTATAAACAGAAGAATTTGGTTAAAAAATATAAAACATCATTATTTTAATATTATATAAATATCTTTTTAATTTTATGTAAATTATAAACTTGATTAAAATTCGAACATTTCTTTATAATTTCAGATCAAATACAGAAACACTAAACTGCTGCGATTTCTAAGGACATCAAAATGAACAACTGTCTTAGATCCCGCAATAAAATAAGCCAAAAAACATTAATAGCGAACAAGAAAACGAAATAGTTTCCAATTCCCCAGTGAATTAAATCCTCCTGAATTTATTTAATACACACAATGACTCGAGCTTTAAAGGTCCAAAAGAGACTGCACAACTGGGAGAAGCCAAGTCGCCAAGAACTAGAAGAATATAAGTCGGTCCTATGTGAGACCAGATACCCTTGTTTCCAATAATCAGTGTGGTAATCAATGTTTATATTCTTTAAGATGTTTACCCCATGGCCGTCCTTTTTGGAAAATAAGCAGTGGTGTTAAATTATATTACAATAACTAAGGAATTGGTACATAATGCCTATGACGTACATGTCTGCTCTATCTTAGGAATCATCACCAATAACCTATAAGAGCCCACTGCTGAGCAAAAACATCTTCTCATACGGAGAAGGTTTAACCATAAATCACTACGCTTGCTCCAGGCATTATTGGCAATTTATTCGAAATTACAAATTCAAGGTCAAATATAGTTAGAAGGACTTGGATCAACCACACATTAGCACTTGCTAGGTTTCGGACCGGTCCTCATGCATGATACAGAAAAGACAATTAGCAGAAAATACTAATAGCATTAAGTTCTCCGAAACGCAATTGTATATAAAGAATAAATAGATAAATAATCTATATCTTATATATATAAAAATGGATCGCAAAATGTGTTGGTAAGCGCATAACTCAACAACGCCTGGACCAATTTAGCTAATTCTTTTTTTGTTGTGTTTATTACTGTCGGGAGAAGGTTCTTATCAAAGGAAATATTAGAAAAGTAGAGGGGAAGATTAGGAAAAAGTGACCTATTGATAGCGATATAGTTGGACCCGTACGAAGCCGGGGCGGGCCGCTAGTATAGTATAAGAATCAATGCCACTTTTCGTTGTAATGTTACAACTCAACAATGCCATTACCGATTTGACTAATTTTTGTCTTGAATTCTTCGTGGAAGTCCAGAAAATGTATGTACGTAGAAAAAAAACTTGAAAAAGTGTAAAATAGACATGATCCACGCGAGCGGAGCCGCACGTATAAACATACTATAAAATTTCATTTAACTTCAAGTGAAGTGAGATTGATAAAGAACTATATCTTATCAATTTCAACTAACAAAGTTAATCCTCCTTTGTTTCTATTACTTACTCCAGTCAGGTTTGGCACAAACTTTGGCCACCAATATTTGTTAAAAAACTTCCTAAGTTACAATGGAAAGAAGTAGTTTTTTGTTCTTAACAAAATTTTACGAGAATTGTTTTTGTAAAGGCCCTTTTAGTTGTAAATAGGACTTTATGTTCATCTATATTAAAGTTAAAGTTTAAATGACAATAAATATTACATTTCCAGTAAGTACCTATATTGTATCTGTAACTTACTAACTGCTCAACGCGACAATCGTATGATGTGCAATGTGTCAAGAGTTCGATTCCGGCAAGAAACAACACTTTATGTTATTCACAAATTATTGTTCCGCGTCTGGGTGTGATATGAAGCTGACTTTGTATGTTTGTAAACGTGCCCATGTTACACGAGAAAATAATTTTGAAATAAGAAAAAAATAAGTCTGCTTGTTCCAAAAAAATATTCCAGGTCAGTTCGAAAAATCAGAAGAAAATTCTTAGTTTCAGTCAACATATTAAATATTATTGTGGTCACGCCCAATGGGGTATAACAAAGACACTAGAAAGCCAAATGACACGATTTCGACATACATATTCTTAACTGACTTATAACTTCTTTTAACAGGCTTAAAGCTCTCTTTTTACTACATCTCCTTTCAATCCACACGTTTCCCTAAGAACGCCAACCAAGAAAGTTTAGAACAACAGCAACGGCGTACATGAGCTTCAAATTCTCAACTTAAGACATCACTCTTAAACTACCAACCATCATACTAGAACACGCCAATAAACAAAAATGTTACAACATGTCCTACAAGTAATATTTTCTGACAAACTTGCAAACTAGGCCGGCAGGAGTTACGCTAAGTTGTTTTAGCAAACTTTCCTTTTATAAATTAAGCTTCTTATGCGGATGAGCTATATTACCATGTGAAAGTATTAGCGGTTCTCAGGAGGTCTTTTGGTACGCATTTTTTTTTTGAAAAACGTTCTCAATGTATAAGTTAGGACTGTAACTAATTAAAAAACTGACTTTCCCGGAGAGTGTATCCTAAAAGTCTCCTTGCAGAAGTACAAAGATCAAAATTTATAAAAATAATTTATTTGGAAAATAATTGAGCAGATTAAGGACCCAATTTGATCGATCTTAATCAGATCAAATCTCCGAATTATACAAAGTTTTTGGGAGAAACATACAAAGATTTTGGATTCAGAACGATAATTCATTTCAGTTGTCGGATCTCTCATTGCAGATTTTTCCTCTCTTAGAGAGAAAGGGAAAGTTTTTTCAAATAAAGTCATGATGACCCAACCATGACATTTTGTTTTTTTTGCCTAATTTTAGGCGTGTCTTCATGTCAATGATACTCATATACTAAACACAGATTTCCATGAATATTATGAAGCATTATGGCTAATGTAGGTGTCGTTTACAATGGGTAATGTCTGATGTCACACAGTTGGTTCAACCAGAACGAACCGATTTCGTTTGGTGGTAGAAATAGATTTACGAAGCAGGGTTTGAAGGTGTATAATTCAGACCTGAATTTATTGGTAGTAGTTTTGAAAAAGATTATCTTCAATATGAAATAGTATTATGTCATTGTTATAGAAATAAATTCGAGATTTTTTAAATCCAATCTATAGAAATAAGTTTACAGGACCAATTTCTATGGATTCACCATTTCATCCATATTCTCTAAGCTAAGAAGAGAAAACAAACTCATAGAATCGACCTCAAGGAAAATCAATCCCTTGGCAATATTTTTAAGATTCGGATTCATTTACAGCTATTTTGTAATCTCAAATTCAAATGTCTTCTCAACCTGTATTGATAAAATTTTATCATCAACCAATGAAAAGAACTCTTCAATCTATTTTTGAACCAATAGGTAAGTAATATTTATATTTACACCACTAAAACCTTGAACCCCAGATGTTTTCACGCCACGAACTTCCGTCTCTGTTACAAATTTACAATATTGTGTAGTTTATGTAGTCGTTTCTGGTTAAGTTGGTTTCCTGGATAGTTTGCGGTTAGTTTATGAACAGAAACCACAATGTATTATAAATATTATGTACGAGTTTCTATGTTGTAACTACGGTAAAACTTTTATGAAGAAGTGTTTCTATTTAAAACTGTAGCTTACTTTATTATATAAAACCTATAGACACGGAATGGATCAACCTTACGAGCTGTGAAAACGTAGGAAGTGTTAAAAAGAGAACTGTTTAATAGTCTGATTCGTAATTTTTTACCTCTTCAGGTGTTCGTAAATTTTGCATAATAAACTTGACAAAGTAGATTTGAGAAAACTAATATTAAGATCACAAATAAGTATGAGCAAAACCATAATCATAGATCAACCCAAACAGTTTTTTAGAAACGAGTATTAGTGCAGATACCTTGAAAGAACTGTTTTAGAATCTCAGTCTATAAATCGCGACGGTAGATTAAAATTCTTTTTTTAGATCCAGTCTTTTTGGAATCTCATGATCCAATTTACACGTACATACATATGAAAAAGAGAAAGAGTATTTTCCGGAACTTTCACCTGTTGTGTTCAATAAGACACGCGTAAAAGTAAACATGGACGATATAAAAAGAGAAGTTGATTAGAGTGAACAATGTATCTTTCCACTCACTTGTTGTGTATCCAAAGTCATCTTCTTCTTCTGGATCAGCTTCCTTCTCTTCTTTACTGCGCTTCACTGCTCCCGCTGACGCTCGATCGATCTGCAGAGAGAAAGGATCATGCACCACCACTGTATCATTGTGAATTGAAAGAATAATTTGGTCCTAAGGGTCGCGCAGTATAAGGTCTTTTATTTTATCTCTCTCTCTATCTCAAACATTGTATGTAATAAAAAATACACGCATATAATTAAATATACTTTTAAGGTTTATAATAAGAACGTTAATATTATATCATGTAAATATTTTTTTATTTCGAAATGCGCAGACATTTGGCATAATCGTTTACCGCAAGGCGTCGCTCTCACGCCTGGTGGAAAATGACAATGCGACCTACGGTGGAGTATGCCTACGCTAGACACCCTTTGGGGAACACAGACTCTGGACAGAATTAAACTTAAGTACTTATTTGTTATTTAATAGTTTTCGAACTTAGGTTCTTAAGTGAGGTTAAGATCAAAACTCATCAAATAGTCTTGTCATAAACGCAATTCACAATTACCATTTAAATGTGTGACAAAGAATTTTTTATTGTTTCACATTATAAGAACTCGCAATAAAAACTCTAATTGCTTTCTTTGCATCGGTGCCCTTATTATAAAAGAATGGCAAAGTTGAAATAATCCGATGACAAATTTTCGCACCAAAATTCTTTCCACAGGTTCTTCAAAAACACCAATTAATTATTCGCACAGCTGACAGTTATTCATCAATCTTCTTATTTTTTGGCACATGCCTTTCTCTAAGCCACATTAACTTTTTCAAAGTGGGTATGCACAAGTCAAAAATGGTACTGGAGCCTTTACAGTATATAACATTTCGCGTTTACTATATTATACTTGTTTGAGCGCAGATTGATCAGTCACCTTATCAATTTTGGCAAAGTATTAATTACTCAACTGTTTCCCATAATACTTCTGTTATCTTTTCAAATAAGCTGTATCACACAACTTTTTTATACTTTTAAAAGACAAGACAGCATACATCGAATTCTATATTATACTAAGTGACCTCTTTTATTCTCTTTCTCATCTACAGCACAACGCACATAACACAAATCATCATCATCATTAATATCAACATCATCAACAACATCAACAACATAATCTTTCTCTTTCACTCACTCACCTCAACTCCCTTTTCAGAATAAGTCCTGCCCTGTAGCTCTCTCTCGTCTTCTTCGTCACTGCTCTCCGAGTCCGAGTAGACCACCTTAGCTGGTGCAGGTGCAGGATCACTATCATCGGTCTTCTCAATGTCAGTCGCTTCTTTTTCTACGTCAGCTTCCGATGTTACTGTTATCTGTGGAGAAGATTTTAGAATTAAGAAGACCATTTAGTTATTTTTTAACTTGAAAGTCTTTTGGTTTGCTTTTAACAGTTTTTTCTGGTGTTAGCGTTTCGTATATCATATTTGTTGAGGCGTGATTGATGTTAGTGGAGGCGTAATGCATTACTCCTTCCATCCTTAAATACCTTTCATTTCATTTTCTTTTTCTTTCTTAAAACTTTGAAAAGTATGAGAGTGGGACTCTCTTGTTTTTCAGTCGTGCTTATAATATCTAAGTCTATAATAAAATATTACAGTTAATAGAAGGAACTATAAAACAAAATAATAGTAGGAAAAGACAACGGCGACCTTGGGGCGAACTGCCATAAAATTAATACGGCCGTGACGTTGACTTTTATGTGTCGAGAAATTATTACATGGTGTAGCTATAATTTATTGCTGGCTGCATACCCAGAGCTTATTATAGCCATACAAATCATTTTAGTCGCACGAAATGTTGAAACTTTTAATTGGGTGTTTATTAATAGCTTGTTAGTTTATAGTGTAAATAGTGCTAGTAAATTATTTGAAAATATCAGCCGATTCATGCTTTTAAACTCATGATTTGAATAACTCTTTCGCTATTGGAACAAGGTATTTTGTCCTACTATCCTAAAAGGTTATTTTTGTATAGTAATTATCGTGAGACATACTACATTTGTTGAAAATAAAGACTTAGTAACAAGATCTGAGAGAAGATCCACATCATGAATAAGAGTCCCGTTGTCACTAGAAATAAGTCGAGCTTTTCTTAGTTAATTTTTGTGAGTTAATCGTGATTTTCAATCTACCTACACAAGGTCAGGACCTACTACAAAGCAGATCTTCTGATTAAAAAACTTTATTGACATTATTTCGTTTTACCTTAATTTCATGCTGTGGAGTTTTCTGCAGCAGTGAGGGTGCTGGGGATTTCTTTCCGTCCTTCTTTGAAGGGGTTGGAGATGTGGGTGGAGTTGACTGTTCCACGTCAGAAGAGTCTGTATTCTGTAATGAGGATTATTCTTAGAAGTTGTTTGAGATACACATAAGCACAGGACAATGTATGTACTTTTAATTAAAAAATCACGCCTCAATAGTTCTGAAGGGTGTAGCCTATGTAGATATTATTAACTCCTTCTGATAGAATTCGCGTAAAAATTGTATTTATTTTTGACGGCAGACTTGTACGATCTATGCAGTGGTATTTTAAGGGTGCCTGCGTTCTTATGTGGTGTAATTTTGCACCTTATACCCTTAGCATGAAGATCCACTTACCCATGCAAGTAGACTCTGCACAGTAAGTGTGACAGTGTCCCCGGCTGCCTTGATGAGCTGCACAGCGCGATCATGCTGAGCCGACCTCACACATACTCCATCCACTTCAAGAATCCTGTCGCCTGTCTGTGAGAGATAATAGTGTTAGATGGAGGATAGAGACTAAAACGGTAGAGGAATGGGACTGTAAATTTTGTATTAATTGGACTGAAATACAATATAATTTTGGAAGTATCAGATTCTTTCATGGATCGAAGACGGGTTGTTTATTTGACTATTTTATTTGAACGGTTGCCCTAGTGACAACTAGTGCTTGCAAGACAAGTGACATTGCTAGAGTTGCGGTTCAAGCGTCAGTTAGTGAGACTCTGGCACTCAATCTCGTCACACCGAGGGCGGGAGAAGTAAATTGACGATTTATCCCTCAAATAAGTAAATGCAAGTGATGTTATGTGAAAATAAGAGGATCTAATTCATATACCTACTTGTTCAATAGATAGTCATAATACTACTGTATAACTTACTTGTAGCTCCCCACAGTTCCCTGCTGGACTGCCAGGCACCACGTTTTTGATGAAGATCCCAAATATGGCCTTCTCTTCACCTTCTTCACCATCACGATTCGAGATTATGTCAACCTTATTGACAGAAAAATAGAGTTAAATTTAGTTTTTTATATGAAGTTTCTTTATCTACCTTTTTAGTTTCATTTGTTTGCGAATGGTTACAGAGACGTATTGGCATATTATTTTACCTGACTACGGCAAAGCAAAAGGAGGGTTATAAATAAGCGTCTGTGATTGGCTCAAATGCAATAAAACGAGGGTGAACGGGGACCCATCCCTAAAGGCAGCCAACGCACTTGTAACTTCTTTACGGCCATTTGGTGTACAACGTCGATTGCTTACCATCAGGTGACCCGTCTGCTTGTTTGTAGCTTTGTGACATAAAGTGTAGTAAATGCATTCTATTTGCTTTAAAATTGTATTTTTGTAATGAAATCATTTTCCCAGTGTCTCACCTTGCCACCAACAATGCTAACGCCTAACGGAGCTCCAGGGCTCCGCTTGAGCGTGACCTGTCGCGGCGAGCCCCACCGCTGTGCAGCCAGCGCGTCCGACCGCCTGTCTGATGATACCGTCACCGTCATCGTCGGTGGGGCGTAGCTGAGGTAAAAAACGTGTTATTAATAAAGTTTCAATTTTATTAATAGACCAAAACATCTCTGTCTTCATAGAAGACCATGTAGAAGCATTCGAACAATAAATTTGATGTATACGTGACCTTGGGATCGGAAAGACTGCCAATTGTGTCCTTTAGGAAAAGTCCTCTGCATATTCTAACATAGAAGAATAAATTGCTCATTTATTTCAGAGTAAATAGCCCCAAATGCAATCAAATTCAATCAACATGGCATACGTTACCACCTTTTATCATTTAGAGAACCTTACAAGTAGAACATTAGTAAAATACATATCTACAAAGAAAAAAAATCTTTCGTAATAGAGTGCCAATATAAATGTAAGTTTACTGTTTAATTTTAACCAGACTAAAACTATGTAAAGGTTAGGACAAGGTCTTCTGAAAACGTACGCTGCTAGTTAATGTTTTACACTGTCTATGGACCCCCGCAACACCAGAGAACCAGCCACCAGGTGTGTTGCCGGCTTTTATTGGAGACTTAGTTTAGAACCAGAAGAAAAACAAAAGATAGGATAGGTAGGATAGGAAGAGCAGGGTAGGTAGCGAGGTAGGGTGGTGTAGGTAGTCAAATGACGCGAGTAAAGCCACAGATAGAGCTAGTATGTATAATAAAACGATAACATAGTAACACATCGACCTCAAAACAGAATCATGTGACACGAGCGGAAGACTCGAAATTGGATAAGTGTTATATGACAATTGAGAAGTGCATGCTCCTACTGACACCGACCGACGTGATACGAGGAATATCTCTATCAAAGGAACAAACTGGACTGTGGGCAAATAACTACATATATATTCATATACTCGATTCAAACATTTTTTACAACAAAGACAAAGAATTTACATAGATGAAGATGATTCAAAGCTTTATTGGATTTCAAAGTTATACATAAATTAGAAAAATAATGAATTACAGAAAAAAACATTTTTCTGACCAATGGCCACTAAGATATCGTTGACTAATCACAATTCTTTCGTCAAAGTTTTTAATCGTCTTTTTGACATAATAGCTGGGACTATTCCTCAAATTTGGCGACCAAATTCTAAATACTGATAATAATAATTGAATCAATTAATCGAATTATTTATGACCAGCGTATGATAAGTACAAATAGATGGTACAGAAATTTAGGAAACATGTGATGTGAACCCTTCTGTCAATTTTTGCCGTGCCTACACGGCAAAAAGTAGACAATAAAATAACAAAAAAAATAGTAACAAAATCCCTAATCAAACCAAAAAAAACACACTTTTAAAAGAAAAATATGTTTGCGCTCTTTCGAGCCAAATAATTTCTTTATTAACTTTTAGACCTAATCCAATAAGCAACCGTATTTCCTTACAAACCGTACCATTTGTTGAACAAAACGTATTGTCAACGGAGTGGGCTCCAGGCAGGGTCTATATTTCGTTTTTTTAAAATGAACTAAGTGAATAACAAAAGAGAACAAAGTTGCTTTAGATTTGTAGCTAAAGCCGATCGGGTTTTGAAAATAGATTGGCTGTGCTTTGATTCAAACGCTGATGTTATCAAAGGCTGGATTCATTGTGTGAAGCGTTTTGAAAAGAGCTTTTCTTGAATGAGCTAAAGAAGTAAGAGTGTTTTCCACTGGTGTTTTCACATGTATGTTTATTTTTTTGACAACTGAGTAACACCTAGATTGACCTATGAGTTTGTTTCAGCATTTTTTCTCAGAGTCGGATAGGAAATGCCAGCTTCGTCTAGTCTTTAATATATAACTTTTTTTCGAAATGTACTGTTTTATGGCCTATTTGCAATTTACATGTCGTTTTTTTTTCTATCAATTCGTTGAAGAACCAAAAAAAATAGACAACTATGAACAACACCAAAGACTCATCAATTGTCTCATCATAATTTAAAACTTAATAAACACACTGGTTCGTTCACGTGTCCCGCAAATAAAGTAAACTTAACCAAAACTACATACGTTTTAAATGGAAACTTTCAATAAAATGTTTGTGACAAGACATTTATTAATTAGGAAGGACCCTGAACACGGTATCGTGTTCAAATATCAAGAACAGAATGCCAAGGGCGGGAAAGTTTCTTTTCGTGAAAGCAATCGACATATTTATGACGTTCGGGGCTCTGATTGGCCAGTTCCAAGTTCACTAACCAATCACAGAGCTAAACACAGTAACATTTCGGAAGCAAGGAAAACTGGCACTATGATCTGAGAACTAATGACAAATAAAGTAACACATCATAAAATATTAACAAACAAAACGAAAACGCAATCAACCTGGATACAGTTGGTAAAGGTCAGGATGGCCAAGATAAATAATTAATTGAAACAATTGTGTCTATCTGTGTGTTACAACAGAAAGCTATTAACGGAGCCTTCAGTGGGCAGCGTCGGCAGCGATGCGATGTATTAAACGTTCAGCCATTCAAACAAATTAAAACCGAATGGATTAAATGGATACCTGTCGACCGGAATGTACTGACGCGTGGTCAGGTCACGTCGTAAACACGGCAAGTGTTGTATTTTTGTATCTTACTTAATATTACCAATGCGAAAGATACGATGTTTGGATGTTTGTTACCCAATCACGCCAAAATAGCTGGAGGGATTTGGATGAAATATGGCATAGGCATAGAACATAGGCTTCTTTTTATTAACATATACAACAAGGGCGAAACCGCGGGAGGGAGCTCGTCATATACTTGGCATTTAACCATTTAATCTTGGTAATTCGAAACACAATAGAAGCACCATATGTGTGCGAACGCCGGCGTTCCCTGGGAGTTTGATGAACTAAAGATTGCCTCGGATTCGGGTTCGATTATGCTCGATAGTTTAACTTCTATTAAATTGTCAAATATGGCAGTTTAAAAATAACAGTCAATTAAAATACTAAAGAAAGTAAAGCGAGTAGCGGTCCGCTAGCGCCCAAATTTTTTGGGGAGTTTAGGAAGAGAAGGATTGGGCCTTTTATAATTTCACTAACGCGCACACACATAGACACATCACAGACATTATTTCTGTAGAGCTGTAGCATTTCTTTCTCTCTCTCTTTCTCTATTCATGCTGAATCATTCCCCTCCACACATTGCTATATCATTCAAATAAAAAAAATTGAACACCAAACTACTTCTGTAGTTGCCAGTACAAGCTGCATATGAATCAATCACAATGGGACGGGAGGGTGCGACTCCTGTCATATCAATGAATATGGATATATTGAATTCGATAGAGTTCTCATATTGTAGGGGAAACGGTTTGACGATAACAGTAATATCATATAGGGAATGGGTCGTTAACTTTTGACACTGAAGAACTAACATATTCATCGTCATCGTGTATAACTAAAAGTCCAAAGACAGGCTATTTCAGGCTCTTTTGAACGTCAAAGAAAGACAAAAAAATTTCAGTTTTGTCTTAGTGCTCGTTCCAAAGTATAGATTTTGATGGAGAACGAGTAAGAAACTCCATGTTTAGAGGAATATCTCACCTGAGTTTGATCTGTGATTTGCCAAACAATCAAAGAATTATTTGCAAGCTTGGTGCTTAAAGCTTTCACCTTCTCCGATTATGAGAAGAGGCCCTTGCTCAGCAGTGGACACTTATAGGCTGATGATGATGATGAAAAAGGGGTAATCAGGGTTTTTTTCAGAGAAAATCATCATATTTGAACAAGAAGCATAATTCCAAACTTCGTTCTGAGTTATTTAAAATGATCGAAATACCCTCATAAAACTGAACTGGGAATCGAACCCAAACTCAGGCTAAGCATTCGTATACAACACATACATCAAAAATACTGACGTGACATTCTATACAAATTTTGTCTTGAAGTTTTTATGTAAATCTGGACGCTATGACGCCACAATGCCCGCTGCACTTCGCTAATCAGAATTCGGTCCACTTTGATGAACCATCGCTAATAAAGTGGTGCTCACTAGTTTTTCTGCTTAGTCGAGCGTGAAATCGAATTAATCGGTGCACCCTGCACCGGCCACAGACACTCAGGATCTTATACATACATAGTTGTATACTATATGGTCAAAATTTGTACTCGTAGACCAGTATTAGGATTCCATATCGGAAGCTTTAATGCTAAAAGCATAGAATCTTAACCATCAAGTCATAATAATCATTTAAAATCTGGCGACCAATCCCAAGAGGAAATTCGTGGCAGCCCGGAGAATACGGCGCCCGGTTCTCATGCATGAGGGTGCGTTTTTCGGAATCGGGCAAGTACTAATGTGAATTTTTCCGAGCTATATGTACTTTCTATAAGTAATTAGACACCACTGACATACGGTGACGAGAAAAACACACACATCATCAGACTTTAAGTGCCCACTACTGAGCAGAGCTTCCCACAAGGAGAAGGTTTGAGAATTAATCACCACGCTTGTTCAAGGCGGATTGGCGATTTCAAACATATGTATACATTATAATTACAAATTATAAGTCTAGGTGTCCTCACGATGTTGTCCTTCATCGTTTGTCAGTGGTGTCAAATTAATCATAGAAAGTAAATATAACTTGGAAAAAGTCATATTAGTACTTGCCAGGTTTCGAGCCCGCATGAGAAGCGGGCGCTTCAACCTCTGGGCCACCACGACGTGTGGTGACGAGAAACACCTGGAAACCTGGATTTATATTGTCTAATTATAAGTTTGAAATCACCAATCCTCCTTGACCAAGCGTGGCGATTAATGCTACCTCAAACCTTATCTATGTGAGGTAAGGCGTTTGCTTAGCAGTAGGCACTTATAGGCTGATAATATGAACGATACTATAGAGACAATTAACTTGAAATAATTTCGCAACAAGTATCATGACAGTAGTATTACTTACAGTAGACATCCAACTTCAATGTCATACCCCTCCTCCGTTTTCTATTGGCTAATTAAATTTGCAATCGACTTTGTAAAGCGGACGGCAGAACAACTGTTATATAGAATGTACAAGGTACTGTATCGGCA